GCGAGCGCGTTTTTCGATGGACTACCTGGGTAGTGTCACTAAAAAGAAGCTCAGTCGTGACCTGATTGAGCTCCTTTTCCCTGTGCCACTGTATCGATCGGTGTACAGCCAATGTCCGGGTCACGATGTGCTCCAGCGTGTGAAAAGCATGTGTGTTCCACCAGGGGTAAAGTCCTTTTTCTTTAAATTGCACAGCGAGACATTGCCAGTCAAGCCATGGCTAAGAGATAAGGGAATCTTTGTTCCGTGGTCGGTGGATTGTCTCCTGTGTAAGACACCAGAAACCATCGAACACGTTTTTATTTATTGTTGGGATGCTGTGTTTTTTTGGGACATTCTTCAAAGAACCCTGAAAAAAGATTTTATGTTGCCCCCGGAGACCATTAGGTATTTACCTGTTGAAGAAAGTGACACTGTGCCCTACGACCTTTTTATGATACTCGGCCTGTTTAGTATTTGGAAAACAAGGATGGAATTTCGGCATGCTGACCCAAAAATTAAGTCTGTACAGAAGCATTTTATCGATATTGTAAACGAGGTCCAAACGGTGTATTGCAGAACACCAGAAACTACGCCTGAGTGGGCACACTTGTTCAGTGAAATTAAGAACATGAGAGAACTTTAGTTCGCCCACAAGTCGCTGGGCGTGAGCTCCTTGTAATGACATAGCATTCTGTGCTGCAATGTTGAGTTCAATAAAGAAAAAAAGTGAAAGCCGTTTACAAATCCCTGTAACGCCGAATGGGAGCGCAGCTCTTGAGGAGGAGTAGGGAAGGGTACTGAGGGGAGGGTAGACCCCTCCTCCTTCTCCTTTCCTCCCCTCATTCTTTAATATGCTCCGGGGGGGGTCACGTGACCTCGGGGGGGGAGGGGTGTCACGTGACTTCGGGGGGGGGGGGGGGGTCACGTGACCTCGGGGAGGCGTGACCTGGGGGTCACGTGACCTTGGGTGTCACATGGGGGTCACCTCAAGGTCACGTGACCCCCAAGGTGACCCCCACGTGACCTCAGGGGGTCACGTGACCTTGGGGTCACGTGACCTGGAGGGGTCACGTGACCTCGGGGGGTCACGTGACCTGGGGGTCACGTGGGGGTCACCTTGGGGTCACGTGACCTTGAGATGACCTTGGGAGGGGTCACGTGACCTTGGGGGTCACGTGACCTCAGAGGGGTCACGTGACTTGGGGTCACGTGACCTTCAAAGGGTCACGTGGGGTCTTGGGGTCACGTGACCTTGAAATGACCTTGGGAGGGGTCACGTGACCTCGAGGGGTCACGTGACCTTGGGGGTCACGGGATCCCAAGATGACCCCACGTGACCCCTAAGGTCACGTGACCTTGGGGGTCACGTGACCTTGAGATAACCTTGGGATGACCTTGGTTACGCCGACGCCGACGGCGACGGCGACGCCGACGCCGCTCAAGCTGGGAACGGGCCCCTAAGAGCTGCGCTCTAAAAAACAGTTAGTGTTCGGGTATGTTCGCCTGATGCTTTTAATAAGCGTAATGTGTGTATAGTAGAGGCCCCAAGCGTAATAGTTGTCTAAGGAAATCAAATTATTTTTTTAAAGAACATGAATTGGGCGGTACCTAGCGCCACCTAGCCTAGCTACTTGCAATCACTCTGCTTGACCCCGCCATCTGGTGGCTAGCGATTTAACCTTCTTTCACGCTACGCGATAAACAGCGGCTTCGAGTTTGTTCTTTCGAGAGCGGCTTTTGGTTTCGCGGATTGAGTTTGCCCTTCTCCGTGATGTGCGGTTGACGAAATAATTGTGACTCGAGAAACACCAAAGGTAAGACGCAAAGTGCGCGAAGTAACTGGGTATCGGTTGTCTCCGTTTAACATCGCAGTGCTGTCGACGAGAAAACTGAGTAACTGCTTTCGAAACGCAAGTTTCTGTACCTGTGGGGGAAATCTGGCTTCGGAAATAAACACAGTTCGCGGAAAGCTCGTGTTACGCTTTTATTTGCTGCTGCTCTCGTCCCGTACAAGAGACGTAGCGTCCTCGTCAAGCCTTATTGGGCTCGATTTGCTCGATTCGGGGCCGCCATATTGAGATGCAAGCGACGGAGGAACTTTGCCCCCCTGCTTCAGGAACGAAAGTTTCTCCCTTTCTAAAGGAACATAGGTTACAAGACCGTTCCTCCCGTAAGGGAGGACTATCCATACCCTTTTTTCTAAGAGTGTACGTCACGATTGGGTTGGATGTCACGTGGTCTCCGCTGGGCCTTCTCCGAGCGCTTGGCAGAGTGGGCCGTTTATAACGAAAAATACAGCCACCAGGCTCAAAACACAAACGTGCGATTGTCATTTACGGATATTGTGGATCATATTCAATCTGTTTTTGAACACGATAAGAATATTTCAAATTTCGTTGAAGTATCCCTTTAAAGAGCGGGCACCCTCAATTGGTAAAGGCGGAACGCAATGTAGAAAAGAAAATAACAACTCACGAACCTACAAGAAAATTTTGGCATTTCGGAGAGGTGTCAACGTGCGCGAAAATAAAAGAGCGCATATCGCTCGGAAAAAAGTTGCTTATTAAAATCTTTTGCCCATAATTGCGCCTTTTGACGGCTAGCAGAGCGGTAGATCCCTGTCATTATTTAATCGGTACGACAGGCTAACGTTACCACACACATTATCTAAAATGACACCCTTGAATACCTCTCCGCTCGTTCAACACAGATGCAGGAACATTGACGTCCGAGTGGCCATACGGAGCAAAACTGGGGGAGAGGAGGAATTGAGAGCGTGAAGGGATGTCAGAGCACCAAGCTCTGATTGGAAGTGCAGAGGGACGCGAAGGGGCCATAGCTGCCTTTGTCGCTACTCACTGCTCGAGCGCGTTCGAACGCCGAACCACGGATTCTGACGTTCGAACGCGGGGCTCTGCGCAAGAAGCAGGCGGCGCCTTGTTGGCTCTCCTTAAGCAGAGACAGCGGGGAAGTGCTCCGCGTCCACCCAGCAATCCTTCCGATCAAAGCTCGGCACTCTGGCGTCGCCTCGCGCTCTCATCTTCTCTCACTCGGATTCTCTTCGTATTGCCTCCTGTCGGAAATAACCCGCTCGTTTAGTGACCCTCGTTCACGACGAGGGTGGACACGTAAACTTAGCTTTACTCACCTAAGCAAATATTATCAAAATGGTTTGAAACATACGAGGCAATGAAACTACCCACCAATAAATCGGTCTTTACCTGTTCTTCCGGTGGGGCGCTTGCCTTTATCGATGCTCCACTCACGCTGCCTCAAGTGAGTCTTTGGCTCATTTTGTTTTGAGTAATTCGGCGAACAAGTTATTTGAAAAGAACTAGTTTAGCCTTCCATGTACAGGGCGCTTTTTTAAAGTTTTACGAGACTGATTTAAAAAGAAAAAAGAACGTGGAGGTTAGACTTATGCTGTCTTAGCAGATGAGATACAACTTATACGGTTATGGGGACATAATGTAGGGGGCTAATGATCATGATAAGTCGGTTAATTAATTAAACGTTATTAACGAGCTTTTTAAGTATTGAAGATAGCCACGTGGTTTTCGTTAGAAACTTTCTGAGCAGAAGCAAAGAAACACTAAATCAGTAAATTCTGCAAACGTTTGGGGCACGTGGGAAGCGGGGTGGTGTGTTGAAGTTACCACTCGTGAAGCAGGTGCAAGAGTAGATAAACAAAAACGCGTCCGCGCGTTCTTTTTTTCTTTTTCTTTTATTATTTGCGTTTTCAAAGTGTCACCCTCGCGCCTGTTGCGCGAGCGGTAACTTTAGTGCACTATTGCGCTTCCCACCTGCTCAAGGTGTTTCTAAAATCTACTGATTCAGGGTTTTTGATGGCAGTCAGCTAGTTTCTAAGTGGAAAGATATAGGTTTTTACGAACTAAAAGTTAATTAACAATTGTTAGTTTATTATTCGACTTATTCTGACAATTACCCCTCTAGATTAAGTCCCCCTGGCCGCATAGCTTACTCGCACAGACCGCATTAGTATTGATTTCACGGTTTTGTAGAGAAATCGGTAAAGCCTTGAAAAGAATTACACCCTAGAAAAGAACATAGGCTTGATCATGTTGTTATACATTTTCTAAAAATATCCATCATCGTTTTTAAGTCACTCTTTTGCATAATTATGTGTAGTCTATACGATGACAGAATATATTGCCTAATTGTTTGCCAGTTCAGCTGCCTATATTCAGTACTATTCGCCCATTATAAATGGATGCATAATGTGGTTCGGGAAATTATGACTTGATTGCTACTCTATAAGCACCTCACAATAGACGCCTTCCGAAATTCAGAGCCATCTGGAGGTCCGAAATAACAGTTCTACCTTTGCCCTACTAATGGGGGTAATGGATCTACAGTGTGTAGTATTTTATTGGGCACTATCACTTTCGCATGTCAATGACGGATGAGAATGTGCTCTTCACGACACAGTCCTTCCTCAATATCTTTCCGTTTCGATGGTGACATAGATACAACTGGTCAAAACGAAGCGCCAACTCCCAAAGACTAAGGTATATCTGGATAAATCTTAGACTATACGAGTATACTTTAACATAGACGCCTTAACATAGACGACCTGAACAGAGATGCCTTGATAAAATTCTTCAGATCAGAGCTTTAGAGCCGGTTACGTGCCATCAACAAATTGGCGACTACCCAGCTCTTGCATTCGGTTCCTGCTCCGCATCGTACTATGACAAACTTATACCTTCATCGATAGCCAGAGAGCCCTTATTAGTACGGCACCTGCGTCATTCTTTATATGATGACAGTGATCAAAGTTGCCGACTGAATTTTAAAAAAAAAGGTACATTACTTTCGCCTAATAATACTTCTCATACATTTTTATGTAGGACGTAAACATTTACATCATGATTAAATTAGTAATGAGTGTCTTCACTGAGTGATGAACAGCCCCTTATACGTTAAGCACGTTATCTGTTATGCACACGTTATGCAATGTGATCAACGAACACAAACTAATGTCGAAAAGCGCGTACGTTGAACTTGCACCGAGGGAATGGTGACCAGCTGAGCGTTTTGACGAATGCAGTGTTGCCGAGCATCGTAGTACCGAAGACGGCTGGTGTTGCTGGCAAAAAAGTAGCACTTGGAGCCTATAGGGATAAAAGAATATGAAGAAACAAGAAGACAAGTGTTACAGACACAACGCGTTCACATTAACGCGCATTCAAAGACAGGAACGTATTCAGTCGTTAATAATCGCTGTAAACGTAAGTGTAACCGTACTAACTATTCATGTAAATGTGTGCAAGAGGGTGTACTATTTAAGAATGACAAAAGCAAAAAATGGGCACGCGGTGGCAGGAGTAACTGTTAAATGGAAAAAAAATGATGTTAGGTAATATCTATAGAAGCGTTAGAATTTGTTTGTACTCAGCGTCAACTTTTCTTGTGCTACGTTGTCAATATTTGAGTAGTTTGCACAGTAAAGAAGCCCCGCACTGCTGCGAGGGCGCATGACTACGTCCTACGTCTCATTCGCTTGCGCTCTTGCACAAAAGAGGTGCCAAGTGAAGCCTCGCGATCTCACAATCAGCTCGGAGAGATTCGAAGCCGTACAGAAACTACGCTGGCCTCGACAAAGAGTCACAAAAAAGTTACGACACACTCACAAAACAAAAATTAACGCTCAAGTGCTACACAATTTCGATTACTTCACGACGTTTGAAGCCTGCTCATACTCACCGAATGCTACCCAGCCTTCGTCGCAGTTTCCGAGGTTTCTTTTCAACTGCGTAGCAGATGTACCTGCAGGCATCGACAGAGAAAACAAAAAGTATAGAGATCAGTGAGGCAAAATCTACGCCACAAAGATCTATTTGTATCTTAATACTGCAGATAACGTAAGGTTACACTTATAATGTGCATACGTGTTCTCAGCCGCGCTGGTAGTTGATAAGCTTTTCTGAGCTCGGGAAGGATGTCTGCCGACTTTATTTGTGGGATTAAGATATATAGTTATACTTATTTTGGCAACGAGGGGACGGACTCGTCGGTGTTCGCACGATTGTAAAAATGCCTATGGCGATGCGCCCTTGAACGGTTTGTATATTTTGAATATTACTATTATTTATTTTGGTTCAGGCGAACTGTGGTACTGCAGAGAGGCAAGTAGCCCATAATACCACGTACGCCGGCAGCGCATTATTTAATAACGATAAAATGACATACACTCTAAAATATTTGTAATTGGACTTCGATTTACCGACGAAACTTAACGGGTGGAACCATCTGAACAACGAAGGAAGGAGACACCGAAAAGACAACCGACCGCTGGACTACCAACTATTTTAAGAAATCGTCCTTCTTTTCTACCAGTTCTTATGCGTATACATTTGATTTTGTTTTAAATTGCAGCTCTTAGGCGCGGATTTCCGGCTTGAGCGGCGTCGTCGGCGTCGGCGTAACCGCGCGTTGCATTATGGGACGTAATGCAACGCGCGTATAATGGCGTTACACGTGACCTCATAATGACGTTACACGTGACCTCGCGTGTGACGTTACGAGGGTTACAAGGATTACCTTCACGAGGGTCACAAGGGTTACCCTCACGAGGGTTACCCCCGACGTTACCCTCGTGACGTCACAGGTGACGTCACATGTGACGTCATTATAAGAAACAAGTGACGTAATTTAGCGGGGAAAATTTTCCGCTAAATTCGACGGGAAAATATTCCTGCTGAATTTACCATCGTGACGACACGTGCGACGTCACGAGGGTAACGTTTTCCCGCTAAACTTAGCAGGTAAATGTTCTGGCTAAATTTAGCAGTCAAATTTCCCCGCTAACTTTAGTGGGAAAAAAAAAGGGACGTGCCCTCCCCTCGCATACCCTCTTCTCCTCCTTCTCAAGAGCTGCCCACTAATTCGGCGTTACAGAAAATTGTAAACGTCTGTCTTTTTTTTTTCTTCCTTATTTTCTCCATTCTGAATCGCCGTTGCCATCTTTCTTCTATTTCTACTCAGCAGGAAGGGCGCCCTACAGAAAGCGTTTTTCTTGAGGTCGCAGCGTTATTCAGACGGAGCTCGCACAGCATACTTGCTTCACCGACAGCTTGTTCTATTGGTAGATGGCCTTGATAAAAAAACTCATTCGCGTACATGTTTGTTCTGGCTCAGTTTTCTCTTTTTTTATGTATTCAGTTTTTTTTTTTTTTTTCATTACAGCCTTTTTTTTTTTTTGTCTGTATCATCCCAGAAAATTCCTCGCTGCCCTATTTTGAACTTTTTCAAGTTTTTCAATTAGATCATTTTTCATAAAACAGATGCATATTCCAGAATTGGCCTAAAACACGACAGATATGCCATTTTTTTAAGGTTGGTTTTGGAACATTTTAAATCTTGTTGAATGAAATTCAGTACCCTGCCTGCCTTTAACACAACGTCGTCGACCTCAGCGTTTTATGAACAGTTGTTCGACAGCGCAACATTCAGATATTTGCACGTACATTCTATTTTGATGAAGTCGTTATTCACACTCCCTCGAGTATCAATTTTTTTTCTCTTATTCGTAGTAAAACCTACATAGACACATTTTCTTTTTTATTCGAATTCATCTTCCATTTACAACAGCAGTTTTCAACACGTATCAGGTCACTAGTAACTGTTCTGCATCTTGTCCACTGGTAATTACTTTACATAAAACACAATCATCGGCAAACAGTCGTATAAGGGATTTTATTTGGTTATAAATGTCATTAATCTAAATTAAAAACAATCGTGGTCCTATGATGGAGCCCTAGCTGGGGGATTCCAGTCATCCCATCAACGTCCACACACTAGAGCAGCTGGGGCAAATAAATTCCCATCAATTTTATAACAGATGAATCTAAATTGAGCATCTTAAGTTTCTGAAGAAGAAACAGGTGTATACCGTGTCAAGTGCTTTGCGGAAATTCAAGAAAATACAGTTCGTTTGACAGCATTCGTCAATACCAGACACCAATTTGTGAAAGAAACTCCGCAAGCTGTGTCGTACAAGGATATACCTTACAGAAAAAAAAAAAAACCTAGTTGCTCAATTATATTTGAATTGTTTGCGTCTATGTGAAACCATTATTTGTGAATAAAACACGTGTTCATTAATCTTGCATAAAATAGACGTTAAAAATAGGTCTGTAATTAGAGACGATCATCTTGGAACCGCCTTTGTGGATATGTAGTACATCGTGAGCTACTTTCCAGTCATCTGGTAGGACGCCAGTTGAGAACAACAGGGTGTATGTTAAGTATAAATAGACAGAAATTGATTAAGCACATCGCTTCAGAGCAGGTGGTGGAATTCCATCAGGACAGCTGGCTTTGGTTTCATCGATGTTCTGCAATAAGGCCTCAATGTCACTTACACTAAATTTGACTTGCTGCATTTCGGGAACATCGCTAACGTACAAGGAATAATTGTAACTGCACTGAGGTAAAAGAACGGACTGAACGTAATTATTTAAGCATGTAACTTTCTCGGCGTCGTATAACATTACCCGCTCATTTTGCACAGTTTAACTAATTCCTACGAAGTCCGGACCAGAATTTGTAACATACTTCCATACGTAACATACGTAGCATACTGAACCTGAACGAAATCATTTTTTTCGCGCCAGAGCGGAACCGATATGTTTTTCATGCGGTTTTAGGTTCATACTCGAAGTCAGGTCACATAAAAAGTACGTAGCAAAAACACAGTAACTTAAAAAATAAACCAAAAAACTAAAAAAAAAAAAAAAAAAATTTCCCGCAATCCGGAGTTGAGCCGGACCGATATAATTATTTTTTTCATTCCTAGGCAAAACTGATACATTATTTTTGGGGTGTTTCGTCCATGTGGGAAGTCATAAAGCGAAAAATGTAGGTAGCGGAAAGCTCTGTAAGGTTCCATTATCAGGTTTCCACATAACGGTCGTATTCATAATTTATAAAGTTTTTCTCGAGAACTCAAACTGAACTATAAATTCTCTAGGATTTCTTGTCTTACGTATTTCTTGAACAAATGCCCACATTATTCCTAACCTTTTCTTGGGGACCGGAAAAAGTTCATCAAAGAAAATTTATAACTAGAACATACCCGATTCGTACGTCATCAAAAGTGACCAACTAATGAGCCTGTTTGTTGACAAAACGGTGAGTTGGGCTAGTTGGTTTTTCATCTCGTACTGAAGGCAAAAAACAGGACAAAAAAAGGTATAGACAACACGCCAAGTGTTGTCTATACCGTTCTTTGGCACTGTTTTTTTGTTGTTTTTTTTTTTGCGTTCAGTTTGAGATTTGTTTGCTTTTTCTTGTCTTCAATTTTGTAGAGTTGTGTTCAATTTACTTTAAACGCATTGATCTCATTGTACAACTGATCGGATAAGAAAGCGATACAAAGGCCGCTGGGTATTTTAGAACCTGCACTATGTTGCCATCCTGTGGCGCATCTAATCTGCTTTTAAAATAACTGAGCTGATTGAATAATCTACGCTGCAAACATGGTGAAAGCTGTGCGTCTCCTTGGTGAAATGAACGAGGAATGTTGGGACTCCGAAGAAGAGATCGGCTCCAGTGACCCTGAAGTTGAGTCCCAGGCTCTGCAATCTCTACTGAAGAATCCTGACAGCGCACACTCTAATGATTCCGGCTCGCTAGAAGGGATGAGATGCGCCGCTTACACGCTGCGGCTGGCAGTTAGGGGCACCTTGAAATGCTCGGGCTGCTGGCACATTGTTGAAGAAAGCCATGCGCTTGATAAGATATTACGAGTCCAATCTGTTATGTCCCTGATCAGAAAGCTAGGGTTGAAGAAACCAGTGCTGAACCGTCCAACGAGGTGTCTTCTGCGCTGAGTGTACATGGATCCCCGCTACCGCCTTCTTCTCACCCCTGAGCAAAAGTACCGGGCCACGTTGTGTTTGAGAAAGACTTGGAGGCGGAGCACAGCTCTGCAATGCGAGCAAGATTCTGCCCTTTTGAAACTGCGGCGGCTCCAGAAGATCCGCAAGGCGCCTTGGAAGCGCTCCTCAAGGAAAGAGAGGTTGAGGCTAGCATGCACGTTCGAGGTATACAAGGAGCCGCGGCTTTCGAGGGACGCTAACTTGTTGCAGTTTTGGGAGGAGAGAAGGGAACGCCACTCAGAACTTGTGCCTTCGACTCACGTCAGCGTGGAGCGAACCTTTTCTGCACTGAAGTTCATTTTATCGTTTCAGAGGTGCCCTCTTTCGCCCGGATATGCTTGAGGACGTCCTGCTTCTTCGGTCAGCTGCCTGACATTGAACTGCGCTTTCACCCACGTCCGGAAGTGCTCCAGCTCTAGCTCGTTCATTCCACACAATAATTTGAGCCTTTGCTTTCTAGATGTTACACGTTTATAAAATCTCCCCGCGCTTTTTTTTTTCTTCTTGTACGCCTCTTTTGGCCTTCACTGAGGTTAAACAAGGGCAAGGAGGACTGCCCGTTGGCCATAGTCCGATGTCCTTACACTTGTGTAGTTAACATCTTCACGGGTATCCTAACACAAAGGTGGGATACAATACGAACTTGACTGGTCCAGAAGGGAAACTGCTGGCATTAGAATGCTCTTTGTGACCGCCACTTGCGAAACTCGTTCTCATTGGATACTTGCTACACGACCAATCAGAACAAAGCCACTGACGGCAAAATGGTGCGCACTTTGCTTGGACTCAATACAACAGTCACTCCTTTGCGTCTGTTCGGGCGGTCCGGTCGTCTCAAGGGCCCTATCGACAACTTGAAAGGTAAGTTTCAACATTACGTGTTAC